ATCAGTGGCCAAGCTCATACTGTGTTCAACATGGGTCTGCAGGGTCCCCAAACCCAGAAGAGGGTAGATCATATTTACATATGTGACTGTGCCTGCAATTACTGCCCTGCCGCAGTAAATTTACAGCAGTGGGGCGACAAGTGATAAACACAGAGCGGAGTCCGCTCCTATCAGCAATGGATCCATGAGCAGTTCTTCTGCTTAATCGGAGCTTACAGGATGGAATAAAAAATTTTTAAATCCGTGCCCGTTCAGTGTGTGCCTAGCAGATTATTGGCCAGATTTAAATGGACTCCGCTGTCCGTTTACATCAGGCTACCTCCAATCCATCACATTTAGGTCTGGAAAAACAGAAAAGGATGCTGTCATTTTCCTTTTTTTTTATTTTTCATACCTTTACAGACTTGGAGGTAAGCTGGTATACATGGACACAAGTTAGAACTGCTTGGAGCTTCTGATCAGGTCTTCCTGAAAAACTGACTGGTGGACCTGATCAGAATGTCTGTGTGAAAAGGCCCTTAAAAGTGTAACACCCAGCTATAAAGCAAGTTGCAGGATGTTAAGGGAAACACAAGATGGCAGTGTCCTGCAATTCAGTGGCACTCACACTCTGTAGAACAGCCCATTGACCTTATATGCTGAACCGCAGGACTTGCTGAGGTGCATGGTATCAGAGGAGTTGGCATGTGGGCGGGGCATTTATATACAAACAACCAAGACTGGACAGGAAGTGAGAGGGGAGAGAGTTGGAGAGCAGAAGTAGAGAGAGTTGTGCTGACTGCTGGAGAACCAGACCAGGCTGCAGAACTAGAGAGAAGAAAGGCAAGGAGGAGTTGCTGACTGCTAGCCTTGCCACCCTGTTCAGCGAGACAGTCTGCTAGCTGGTGACTCGGAGCATGGTGACCGGACGGAACATTGCAAGTGAGGCTGTGGAACCTGTGGGGGTATCCATCCGCAGAGAGAGAGAGAGAGAGACAGCAAGGACCTGCTGGGATCCACTGATCAGGTGAGAGAGTCCCATACACCAGCGAAACAAGTGAACACTGACATTCATATCTGCCACTCTCCTGCACACAGTTGCTGACGTTGCATATAGTTAACACATGCTGTGGCCTAGTTCCCCTGGCCGTTACTTTTGGACACATTTGCAGCACAGTCCAATTATCAGAGCTGACATAAGTGCTCCCTTAGCCATTGGCATACCCTCTTAAAGGAACCTTTACAACCATTGCCATTGGTTATTGCATCCCAGAATGGAGTTGCCTTTTTCCAGCAAGTGCTTCTACCAACTTCTGGCATCTTTCTGCTTTAAACTTGTAACCTGCTCAGTGCATTAAAGGGACACCACCCAAGTCAAGTGCCACCTAAAGCTATATTACTTGTCCTTCCTTCTTCCTTTCCTTGCATTAATCCTTTGAGGGACTGTCACTTTCATCTCTTCCTACTTGTGCACCAACTGGGCCCCAATGAGCACACAGAAAATTCCTCACTCCACTCATGGGGACATTGTCTACCCTAGTTAAAGAGCTCTTTTCTGTCTCAGATTTAAATCTTGCCATCAGATTCCGAGGGCCCAGAGTGAGCTAGTTTAAACTTTAGTAGTTTTCTTTGCTCAGTGGGGACTAGAAACACCTCAGATTGGAGATATTGGGTTAACTTCTGAAAAGCAGGACTGCTAACACTGAATGAGATTCTGCGTATGTGTTGTTCTTTGCTTAAAGTTGCTAAGAGTGACAATAGCTATTACACACACCTATACTACTTTGTGCTGTCTAGTCTAACAAAGCAAAGTTTGATATAAGCATCATATCAGTTTACTCCAATCTGTGTGTGAGGCTACGTTCTGCTGGCAATTTACACTGGTTAAAAGAGTACTGTGCTGTCAGCAGCGGTTGGGCTTTCAGAAAGGGGTCCAGAACGACAGGGAGCCAGAAAATAACAGCGACTCCTAAGGGAGTAGTGCTACAATAGGATGTCTAATGAAAACTTCTGAAATAAACACGCCAAGCTTTAATATTCATGATTGTTTAATTTTTAATAATTTAGCTAGATAAAAAAAAAAAAAAACTATTCTATCACTTGCTCTGTAACAAAAATGCAACATATTTTAATTCCAGATTTTAAGCCTATGCAACTACACATTTTCTTGTTAGCACACTTTCCCTATTGTTATTGCTGAAATCCACAGATAAACGGCTTCACTTAATACAGAGTTCTTATTTTTATGGAGGGGGTGGAATTGTAACCTAGCAGTTCTGTTACTATATCCCCACTGGGTAGATTCTCCCTTTCTGTTTGATAGATAGTGATGAAAAATCCCAAATTTTAGAGTTGTCATGAGAAAATGAAAAGAGGGGAAATCTTTTGATGGGGACATCTGCTCAACATGTTACAATCTCACAGTACAACCTTGTGCAATCAACATCAGGATTTATCAAAACTATGTAATATGAGGACCTACCTAAACTGTCCAACTATTGTGTTTCCAATTAGGCAGGTCTTTGCACTACATAGGTGTTGGTAGATCTAAATGAAATTGTGCAATCCGATTGTACTGCATGTGATGGTCTTTAAAGGTGAATTTCTCTCACTTTTGGGTTAAAGTTGGGCTTTAATCTTTAGTGCTAATTCTTAAGTGCATTACCCTACAGCAACCAAGTAGAATTCATGTTATACTGGTCTGGCTTTAGCCAAGTGAATTCTGATGGTTCTACACTTAAAGGAACTATGTCACCAGCTTAAAAATTGCAGGAAAAAGCACAGAACAATCAAGTGCTTTAAACCTTAACTACTTGCAATTTTTTTTCCTTTTCATAAATTATTTGCTATGTGTATTGGAGCTTGCTAAAAAATTTGACTACTCGAGGAGAACCAGTTCCCTAACATAGCTTCTTCCTTCTTGCATGCCATAGTCCTCTTCTGCGAGCATCTAACTCCCTGTGCTGACTTGACTTCTCCATCCCTCCTTTCACCTCCCTACATTACCTTTTATGTAGTTGCTGGGGGGAGAAGCTAAGGAGAATACTTGAGTGGCACTTGAGTGACAGCTCTGAGTCTGTTGACATCACATCCATGATGGTGACTCCCAGCAGTAGCCTTGGTGCTTTTAGATGTCCACACATGGGAAACTTACAGGTAATTAACATACTGTACCTAAAATACTTTAAATACACAGTATTCTTTTTAGAAGATTTTTGTTGAAATTAATGGTTTGGTGACAAGGTCTCTTCGTGTAGAGCAAAAACTTTTTTTCTGACCCTAACCCACTATATCCAACATTTAAAAACAAATTGGCAGGAGTTGGACTTAACGGGAATAGGGAGGAAACTGCATTGAATAATAGATAATGAATAAATTATTAGTATGTTTTTACCACATAGGCAGGCACTGTTAGTGCTACATCTATTAGTGCAAGATGAACAAGTAAGAAGCTGCAAAATGCTTGAAAATCATGTAGGTAGCACCAGCGTAAATGTCAAGCATTAAAGTGCATCTGTACTTTGCCTATTAAGGGAAAACTAGCAGGTTGACTCAATATCCAGCTTCCTTGCCTCCCTGTTTGCCCCCAGAGAACAGTGAATTACCCAGAGGAGCAACGGACTCTCTCCCCTACCTCCTACAATGCAGTGCCTAAGCAGGTAGTAACCAAGCCAAAACACTGTCACATGTGGGCAGGAGAGGGTCCTTAGCCATTAGTAAACTTTGATCCAGAATGACCGGGAGCTTCCTCAGGAATTTTTCTTAGAACTCCAGCATGCACAGGGAAGATAACTATCTATAGAGGGGGTGGCAGGGCTATCAAGTGCACTTGTTTAGATGCCTTAATATGCAAAGTTATACTTGAAGAAGAATTCCAGGATATTTTTACATAGTTACAATTGTCCAGCCTGGACCAATGCAACTATGCATATTCTATACCTGTGGAATCTCTCTAGAAGCTGGAAATCACTGTAATACACACTATTACTTCAGTGATCTTTAATATATTTTGGGTCCCTGCTGTCCTGCTGCCATTCGGAGATCAGTTTGTATTTTCTCAACGAATGCAAAGTGCCCTCTGATTGGATGAGGTGGAGACACCAAGCTCCAGTTTGTCTACAGAATGCTTTGCATTCATTGAGAAAAAACAACGCATTCTCTGAATAGTACTCATGCCAAGTGTCCATCCTTCTGTGTTCACAATGCAACAGGGCAGCTGCTCAGTCCAAGACCTAGAAACCAGTGGCAATCACTGTAGAAGGGATGCCTGCAGGGAGGTGCAGGTTGGCCTCCCTACACCGGTGGTGCCATTGCATCCACCTTGCATGGAGAGTGAAGGACAGGAGGAATACCTATTCCTCTCAAGCCTCAATACGTCTCATCGGATGGACTGCCATCCGAATGGACGCTGCCACCAGGTTGCCCCCTGAAGTCATTTTTAATAAGGGCAGAGCTTGCAAAAAATCCCCTGCCCCACTGCAGTTGGCACACATTCTGCATATGGCTAGGTTAGGAACAGGAATCTGTCTGTGAGGGAGAGTGTGCCTAGTGTAGGGAAAGGTTCCATTGGAGGAGGGATAACATAAGGACTGTCATTAGAGCTCCTTGGGGAACTTCTCCGCTACTTGTGCTTAGTGCCTCTTCCTTCCATCTACTCTCTGCGCTAGGTGATGCCAGCCTCTGTGTGCCACTCTCTCTCTCTGTAAGTTCCGCATACTGTACTGCTGTGAGTGTTGTTGCTGTCTTAAACTGTTGGAAAGACTCTGTTACTGTATCTGGAACATTTTGACAATATAAATTTGCATTCTCAACCACTGTGTGCCGTGACTTCCCTCTGGGTTCTTACCACATGGGCCTTCTCCCACCCAACAGCCTATATGCGTACTACAGTGATTTCCAGTGTCTAGAGGGATCAAACAGGTATGGTATATACATAGTTACATTGATCCAAGCTGGACCAATGTAACAATGTACAAAACGTCCAAGCCCGAAATTCTTTATTAATCACTTTATGACTTTCTCTAAGTTATTGTTTGTGCGGTTACTAATTGGTAATATGCCCCTCGGTTTGACAGAAGCTGTTGATGGCTTCCATGTTCTATTATCCTGCCGTTCTTCATGACGACAATAAGGTCAGCATTCTGGACTGTGGACAGTCTGTGGGCAATCATGATGCAAGTCCTTCCTTTCCTGGCTTGATCGAGAGCTTGTTGTACAACCTTAATAATAAAGTGAGACAAAGGATTTTTAGTAAAATACGCTATAGTAAAAAAGAAACCATTATAGCTAAGTGGTAAATCTAAAAAGAGTGATATATACAGTATATACAACTTTACTATTTTTTTTGGTGGCAACACACCTTTGAAAAAGAAACAATTATGAATTTTGCATTGAGTATTACATATCCAAATTACACATCTATGTGCCTTGATTTTTTTTTTTATGTTTGGAATAAAGTGGTATTTTACAAAGTGTTGGGTCCATAGAAGGTATTGTGTTTGTGCTCATCCAGAATTGTGCTTCCACGTGTTCTAGCGCAGAATAGAAATTACACATAATGAAATTCCATCCAATACTAAACCCTTTCTCCTATACAGACATGTTTCTGAATTTACTTCATGTCCTGCTTCAGGGACAGTGGTCATCTATATCAGGGGAAATCTTCAAACTGGGAAGGCTTGGGCTGGCTATACACTATACAATTTTCTGGCCAATTTCCCTTAGATTTACCTTTCACTATGTAGTTCAAGGGTCTGCCTAATTGGACACAATTGAAAGTTTTGTTTAGGTTTGACCTCATTTTATATGGTTTTTGGTAAATCTAAAGCAGAATTCTCAAGCAAATTGTATAATGTATGGTCAGCCTTACTTAATCATAATAGGAGATTAGAGTATAATTAAGGAAAGATGATTTTTGACCCACACTTATTCAATCAAGTGATTATAACATGGGAGGTTCTAACTATTAACCAGCATGTCAAAAAAAAAAAACTGACTGAAGATGCATTTTAGACAGCAGTAAATTGCAAAGTTCTCAGGCTCACAAACAGTGGGTAAAAAATGCAATATTTTATTGAATGACCTTTTCACTTTCGTTGTCCAGGGCTGAGGTGGCCTCATCCAGCAGTAATAGTTTTGGGGAGCAGATAAGTGCCCGGGCTATGGCTATCCTCTGCTTTTGACCTCCTGACAGCTGAGTTCCTTTGTCTCCAACTCGTGTGCCATATTTCTAAGCAAAATGAAACACATATTAATGAACTGTATTACCACATTTAATATTTTGTTTAAAGCCCAATATAACTTTCAGCTTAAAAGGCAACTAAGCCCACAATTTCCAAAACAGTTGCATTTAAGGCATGGAATTATGACTGTTACAGTTAGTAGTTGTGTTATGTTACCTCTCAGTTGAACTGTCAAGCCATCAAATGGCGGTTGTCATAGCTGATCACATGTGCAGCACCATGGCAACTTCAAATGATGGCTAAGATGGCAGTTTCCTTGGTTGTAGAGGATATATGTATTTAGTTTCTATTAAATCAGTTAACTACATTACATGTGCACCAAAACAAAAATGTGTACAAAATCTTGCAGTTCTTTTCTATAGAAAACAGCCACAGATTGGGAAGAAAAGCCTGTTTGCTGCAAGCATGCAACAGAGTGGGACACATTCTCTTTCCGTGGAAGTAGTGGTCTCTTTGCAAAGATCCAACAAAGAGTTAGATTTGCTGAACCAGCCTTATAGCTCTGCAATGGGCAAAGCTCATGCTCCCTGCTGAATAGCAAGCTCTAGCTCTGACTTACATCAGCCCACAAATGCTCTTAAGACAGAGCAGCCTTTAGGCAAATGCCATAATTGCTAAGTATCAATACCTCGGGTAATTCTTCTATAAAAGAATGAATATTGGCTGCTTTGGCGGCCCGCTGTATTTCCTCCATGGAGACCAGACGGGAGTTATCCCCATAGGCGATGTTCTCAGCAATGCTACAATCAAACAGCACAGGTTCCTGGGACACAATACCGATTTGGGATCGCAGCCATTGCACGTTTAAACATTTTAGATCAATGTTATCAAATAGCTGCAAGTAAAGCAAAAGAATATTATGAAGGAAATCAAGGAACTGTAGTTAGCTAACATTTTTTACATAGTACATCATAACAGACTCAGTGGTGGAGTTAAACTAATTGTTGTCCATAGCTGGATGGATCTCAAACTGCAACCCGTACTGTACACCACTCTTGAGATCTGGATGCTTCTTACATATGACTGTATGCCATAGAGATGCTTCCAATGAGCAACAAGACTCTTTAGCACTCTTTGGGGTTAATTTACTAAAGCCAAATAGACTGTGCACTTTGCAAAGTGCAGTTGCACTCTGCAAGTGCAGCTGCTCCAGAGCTTAGTAAATGAGGTAAAGATTCACACTGCACCTAGTCCTTAGGCAAGTGGGTTCCTTCTAGAGTCCACTAATCATGACTATCTTTTGATTAAGCACAGTTGCTTAAATAGCTTAAATAAAACTCAGATGTTTCACAAGTATATGATGCTAGCAACATCCCATTCAATGCAATGTACCGAACATTGGAGCCTATTTATTGTCAGTATAAATCATTCCCTGGTTGCAACTTTAGGAGCCCTTTGCCACCATTTCAGATTCAGTTCTATAGAAAGTGCCTTGTTTGACTACTCTTACGCCTAAGGTAAACTGTAATATGAGTGTTAAGTGAGCAAAGACACAAATATGGCCTTTGGCTGAACAACCAATACAACTCTACAAACAACCCATATGAACAACGTATGCCAACCACTGGTGGAATCATAACAGACTGCACCCAAAAAGTGGTGTGTACAAAAAAGTCTCACCACTGTCCCCTGGAGGGGATCGTAGAACCTCTGTAGGAGCTGGATAGAAGTACTTTTCCCACATCCACTGCTGCCAACAAATGCCACAGTCTGACCGCTGGATATTCTTACAGACAATTCTTGCAGTACTGACACATCTGGTCGAGATGGATAATTGAAGGAAACTTGACACAGTTCTAAATTTCCTTGACAGTTACCCTATATACAAACAGATATATAAAAATTAAATGCTGCTGAATCTAATAAGTTGTCAAATTCACAATATTTATAGAAAAATACTACTGTGCATTACTGGAATCACAAAGTTTCATAGGAGACAGTCAGCAATGGAAAATGACAGAGGAGAACAGGCCTACAAATAGTCACTAAATGAACTCACTGGTTTTAGACCATGCAGACTGTAGCTGTCAATAGTTGGCTCTCTATCAAACAATGCAAAAAGATGGGAAGCTGCAGATTTGGCTTTGGCGTAGTCTGGAGCAAAGGATAGAGTCTGTCCTACTGACACAGCGCCATATGTTAGAATAATAAACACACTGTTGAGAAAGCAGAGTGATAATGCCCCATAATAATGAATTGAAGGACATAACTTTTAAAATTCAGGCAACTTAAAAAAAAGAAAATTGCTGACTTACAAGTGGTAAGAAAGAGGACTTTCACTGAAGCAAGACAAAGCAACAGGTTTGCATTAATGCCGACTCCCAAAGTTGCCTAAACTTACCTGTCCTTCACTCCCCTACAATTTCATTCACCTGTAGGACTAAGGAGAAGCCCTGAAATGCACATCAAAAACTCTCTACCTACCCCTACTTGACAGTACTGGATGCCTGAGTGGCCAGTTGGCAAACACCACAGATGTCTTATAGGAAGAAGGGAAGTGAGTTCCCCTAATCCAGAAAGGATACAGTATGTAGCCACTCACTCTCAGTAAAGGCTGGTCTGACACCCTAATAGCTGTCTTTCCAGTTCACTATGTTTTTAGGTACCACACCCAAGTTGACCATAGGGCCATGTTGGGAATCCTTCACTTACACAGGTACGACACACCTTTTTTTTTTCCAAGTGATTCTCGGCCTAGTCCTCAGGGTATCCAAGTGAACACCAGAAGTCTATGAGACATAAGGGGCCCAGGTTACTAGGTTTGTACACCCAGGGGAAGGTTTTCTACCACTGACAAGCAGATGGACCCTCCTCCACCAGATCACCACTCATTCCCATCCTGGATGTAATGGCCACACTCCCCAAGTATTGGCTGTATTTGTTTCACCTTCTTAGAAAGAATAGATGGACAATCTAGCACTTATAATAGCAGCATAAACTGTACCTTACAACAGCTTAAATCTTGCTGAAAGTTTCCATTGAACACATTAAAAAGGGACCATTAACCTAAAACATTTAAGTACTTTTTTGAATATTTTAGAATATTAACAATCGGTTGGTTTCATAGTATTTTTTTCATTTATAGTACTGAATGTAGTATTGAATGTATATTAAAGTTCAAGTATAGTTTGTAATATTTTCAGATGTTACAGGAGGTGTGCTGCGGTACTCACAAAACTGATGTAAACATGTTCTACTGTGATTTCTAAATTTTTCCTTCCCTACGACTCTAGTTAAAGGGATAGTTCGCCTTCACCAAAGAACAGCTTATGCAGGTAAGGGTTGTCTCTAGAAAAAAAAAACTGGGCAGCTCTGATTAAAACTGAATAGTGCCTTTGCCATAAGCGTAGGCCATTTACGTACCTCATTAGGCCTTTGCTACATACTCCCCGGTCATTGCTACATGAGGCCTACACATTACTGCTCCCCTCCACCATCACAGAAGTGAACTCTCAAATGGATACCTCAGAGTTACTGTATCAGGGGAGAGCATGGGAGGGGGTCTGAATCAGAGAAAAACCTTACCCCTGTGATGGTGGGGGTGAGCAGTAATGACTAGGCCTCACTTAGCAACATCCTAGCTATGTCCTGGGAGTATTCCAGACAGGCTTCATGAGGTAAGTAAATGGCCTACACCTTTAGCAAGGACATTATTCAACTTTAGTTGTTTTTATCCACAGGCACCCCTTACCTGCATAGGCAGTTTCTTTGGTGAAGGTGAACTATCCCTTTGAGGTCCAAGTTTCCCCCTGAAGGGAAAAGCGCACATGCACACTCAGTGCCCGCCATCTTTCTCCCCATCAGGCTCTTACACCTAAACCACCACTTCCTTTAACACCTTTCTCCTCCCTCATTTGAGTGACAAGGGCCAAAGTATCAAAAATGGGAAGTCCTGACTAAAGTGGGTCCACTCTGCCACAGGTACATCACTTTGTTTTCTATTCACCTTCTGAGAGGCTGGGGAGCAAAGGAAATTAAATATACTGTAAATAGCTGGATGGGTTGGCATTAAACGTGCATGAGAAAACCACAGGTCCACTTTAACAATATAAAAAACTATGTGTGCACACTGTTACTAATATCAACCAGTTAGCATACATTCTTTCTGTTTTTAATACCATTAAAGGGTCAGACCACCCAAAGCAGATATTTTGGGTGGAGCCAGTGGACTGAGACATGGCACTGGCTGCTATGTCTTTGATACTACTACCCCAAGATCTGCCTGCTCTAATTCTTAACTCCTGGGCATTCTGGGTGCTCCTGCCTAGTCATGCCTTAAATGAGGTGTGTTGGTTACTGCTGGAAGTATAAAAAAATGTAATTGGTTTCCAAGGGTGTCAAAGATCTCCCTGTGAAACTGACACCTAGGAAAAGGAGAAACTGAATACAAGTGCTGTACAGCACAATATTCTAGCAATACATGGAAAATTAGGATGAATGAAATAAACATGATATCAGTAAAAACTGACAACTTTTCACTGATCCCTGCAGCATCAATTAGGTGGAGTGTATACATAAAGCCTCTATGTATTCTGTGTGATAATGTAGATAATGTAAAGAATGGTATATAAGGTGCTGCTGTGGAAGAAGGAGTACTTTAGCACCCTACATATAGGCATCTACAGAAGCATATCCTCTAACAATCAAGAGTTGAGTGTGAGAAGCATGCCCATACATTCACTGATAAGTGCATGCTAGAAAATGATTGTTGGTATGGACAACACAAACACATATTAAGCTATATACTCTATACTCTACCATGTCATACTTACAGAAGCACTTCTTCAACATTCATTCTACCTTCTTGAATTAAATAAGCTCCAAAACGATAGCTTGTGGCATAGGCAAAATATATGAATGACTGACTAAAGGCAAAACATATGCCATATATCTGAGCTTTACGTTGTGAATTCCTGAAGTGAAAAATCAGAAAAAGAGATATGCTTAAAAGGAAAATAGTTATGGCAATAATGGCATTCAACTTCTAAAAATAATGTGGGAGAGTTACTAAACCTGGTACACACAGAACCTGGTGCACCTGTGCATAGTAACCAATCAGCTTCTAGGCTGTCAAAGCTTACATTGGTTCTAAAGGCTCAAGGTTTTTTACGTTTAAGTATTCTATGCATGAAGGTGAAAAACCTTTTGGACGCAGCAGCCCCCCCCCCAGCCCCTCTTAATACTTACCTGAGCCCCCTCTCAATCTAGCAATATGCAGGAGAGTCTCAGCTTTTTGGGAACTCTCCCTCCTCATGGCTGAAAAAGCAGTGGGAGCCATTGGCTCCCACTGCTGTCAATCACAGCTAGTGAGCCAATGAGGAGAGAGAGGGGGCGGGGCTGAGCCAAGGCTCTGTGTGTGAAATGGACAAGCATAGTAAGCTCAGAAGTGCCAGCGGGGGACCTGAGAAGAGGGGGATCAGGGCTGTTCTGTGCAAAACCACTGCACAGAGCAGGTAAGTATGACATATTTGCGCTTTTTTTTTTAAGCCTTCCTTTAATATCACTTTATTCGAACAAGCTGAAGTTATAAGCTGATTGATTACTATGCACAGCTTCACCAGATTCTGAGTTCTCCTGTTCTAGTAAATCTCCCCCAATACCTTTACCCTAATCCAGGCTTTTCCAAAGTCCGGCCCGCGGGCCATTTACGGCCCGGGGGTCGGTTTAATACGGCCCTCCAACAGCCCTCCCTGCTCTGTGTAATGTGGCCCTCCCACGGCCCTCCCTTCTATGGCAGACAGTCTTCTGCTTGAGAGCAGAGGGCAGTGCGCATGCCTGACTGCGGCGCGTTCTCCCTGGTCTGTGTAAATGCGGCTGTCGCACGGCCCTCCCTTCTGTGGCAGACAGTCTTCTGCTTGAGAGCAGTGCGCATGCGTGACTGCGCCGCGCTGGGAGCGACAGAGGGCGGTGACGTCAGGGCCGGGCTTCCAGTGTGAAGTGTGTTTCTCTTCCCCTCCCGGCTGCCGAGCAGAGACTTCAGCTCCAGCTACCTTTTTCACCCTTCACATTAGTGCAGGTAAGTTTTTTTTAAATTTATTTTCAATACATTGTGAAAACTCAGCTGTCAGTTGATCTTAATGTTATGAAATGAAAAGTATGTCGTTTGCAATTAACTTGGCATAAAATAATTTATTTGCATTTAATTGTAATGGTTCAAAGAATGTTCAGAAAAATGTTCGGCCCTCCACCATGTTCACTTCATCCAATCTGGCCCTCTTTGAAAAAAGTTTGGACACCCCTGCCCTAATCTTTCAGAATAATGAACCAAAAAATGTTTGCTTTCATTCTCAGAGCTGCATCAAACCTACAACTCTTGGAACCTTATGACCATTACAAGTTTTTATCTGCTTCAGACTTTGTAATCTGGTAAAGTATATAGACCAGTGATTCGGCAATATCAGTAAATCAAATCTTTCATGTATTCCTGTATTGAGAGAGATATGGAGCTTTCCATTGCTGACCTCCTTCTGAAAATGCTAATTGTCTGGTTATGTCTGGCCTCAGTACTTTGAGTCATTGACCCAGAAACTGCATGCAGATCAAGAAATTCAAAGTCAGAGCATCTTATCTACGTCCTTATTTCAGGACAGTGATGAGCACTAAAAGAGCTTGGTTCAAGGTTGTGGAGTTGCTCCCGACACTTGATTGGGTTATGTTTGGTGTTTGTACTG